AGTGTATAATATAGATATCGACATTATACACTCCTGATATGAATACAGTATAAGATAAAAAGAGATACTAAGTATAGGAATGAAGTAAGATTTAATCCGGTTTAACGATAAGTTCAAAGAGATTAGATACGATACGATATGATAGAATATGAAAATATGATTAGAGTAGATAAGATAACACCATCAAATACTAGTAATGTAAAATAAACTTCTACTTCATAATGTGTATTTAACGTACGTGATAAAAGTTGAGATGACACGAGACGGTTAATATATAGACGAATGATTTGCTGTGATGTCGTCCACGGTAAAATTTGGAATACTGTATATATTCTATATATCGATGTTCAAGAAGTAATTGTATAATAAAATATCAAATTTGATGGAAGGCTATGAGTCATGCAAGTATATTACATGGTGAGTTGAAGGGTGAAGGTGAATGTATATGCTAAAGATTCAGCATGTTCAATACAGTTTCGTATGCTTTATGAGTAAAATGCCATGCACACGCCATTAATGGGAATCGGGACCGGACCGCTAATTTCCTTACCTCTGAGATGATTGATGCACGCTCGCCAGTTTTATACAGAGAGATGTAGAATGGCAAGGCTATGTCGGTTATGAATTCTATAGGAACCTGTCGTACGGGTGAAGGCGACACATCTCAAGGTTACACGTATAGCTGTTGTCAGTGTAGGTACTCTGGCGATGTCTATTTTCAGTTTATGTGAAGGCGTATGCTATGGTAAGCCAAACCTCATGTGGAAGAGGCATGGGATTTTACATGCTGTGTGCATAAATAGAGCAGCGATGTGACGTTTAATTAATTCATAGTAATTACCATGAATTCTAGGTGAAGCGGTTGCATAATTATTTTTCTACCCCTTCTTCCTACGCGCAATGCATAACACTTTTGACTAATAACAAGATATTAATTATTATGTCCCCACAGGCGATAAAGCCAGGCATGAATTCCACGACAAATATATCTGTCCAGTTGATGAATGTTCACCGTAAATAAAGACTTTTTAACGCGTCACCTTTCGTGACCTTCGCGTTTTTAAGCAATAATCAAGCATTCGGCAATTTCAGGATTTCTCGATTGAAAAACGATGCTCATAATAAACCAATAGATTAGGCTATAACATGACAAGCTACATTAACCCTGATATAAAAGAACGACGATAGCAAGCACATTCTTTACAAATCAGGGTACGTGCGTTTATTCGCCTGCGCGTATGTGCGTGTGTGCGTGCGTGCGTGCGTGCGTGTGATTGCATGCATTCATGCATGCATGCGTGCATGCGTGTGTGCGCTCGCGTACTCGAATGTAATATCCATGTTATGGCCATGACCAACCCTGATCCTTCGCAGTCATCCTCAAATTTATAGTGGCATCCCCGACACGTATCAATGAAGATTTCTTTTTGTTATGTAAGTTGAACCTGCGTGTTCAAACCAGGGGCGGTTTCACGAAGTGTACTTAAAGTATTGAATTGGATTAAATCACTAAGTACATGATTAATTCGTCGTACTATTAAATTGAAGTGACTGTTTCACGAGAAGCGTACTTAACTTTATAATCATGATTAAGATTAATCACAATATTTAATTCTTACTCGGAGCATGATTATAATCACACTAATCATAATTACGTTGCTAGTACTAGTAGGTTAGTTGAAGTAGGTAGCTACTTAGTATATTAAGTACGCTGCAGATTTTTTAAATTTGGAAAATTTGTACTTCACATTTTTTCCAAGAAAATTTAAATTATCCTAAGATTTGTGTACTCTTTCAACATTATGTTACAAATTAATTCATTTTCATGTAGCCCGACATTGAGATATTTTTGGGTTCGTTCTGCGTCGCCATATTAATTACCATATAATTTGTTTTAGACTGGTACTCGCCTCCCACCTCGATTACTCATTCCCATCGAGTAACAAACCGAGAGAGTGGGAGCGCAGGTACCAGTCTATTCTTTTGAAGGTTCGGCCTAATTATGTGCATTAGTTAAATAGTACTTAATCGCTTTCGTAAACAAGATTTTGAGTACATGATTAACTAATCATAATTAAGGAAGTTAAGAATGATTAGTGATTTAATCAATACTAATTAGTACGCTTTCAGTGAAACCGGCGCCCTGATGGCCTATTACAGACTACAGAGGAGACACGACGTACTCTGTTACAGCTGCCGACAACCGACTATGGGGGGGTGATGATAAACCGGACCCGGACCCGGAAACTGCATAAACAACCGAACCGGACCCCGGACCCGGACCCGGAAAACCCTGACATAAAATCCGGGACCCGGGACCCGCGGACCCGCGACCCGGACCCGGCTCGTGAATAATAAACCCGGACCGGGACCAGAAACCTCGAGCCAGCGTGGACGGCGGCGGCTTTTGATGTACACGTCGATGATCGGGCCTGCGTTAGCACGCGCGCCACACCATCACATACAACACACACCTTGCAGCGCAAATTAAACGCGTGAATAAAACCGGACCGGAAAGCTGCAAAATAAACAAAAGAATATAAGAAAAAAATAAAACAACCCGGACGCGCAGCCGGACCTACACACACACACAGACACACACCAACACACACACACACCACCCACACACACACAGCCCAACACACAACACACACACGCACACACACACACCACAACCACACACACACAACCAGCACACAACACAGCACATGACAGCCAAAACACGCGCGACGACGCACACAGAAACGCACGCGCGCACACGCACGGAGCGCAACCACCGGCCGCGCACAGAAAACTAGCACACACAACACCGCAAAAACGCACGACACAGACACACGCCACACAACACGCAAAGAGCACGTGCGCACGCACGCACGCACGCACGTTCACGCGCACACGCCGAACACACACACACACACACGCAACGCACGTACACGCACGACACAGACACACACACCACACCACACACCACACACACACACACAAACACACACATTATTGCGATCTAGTGGCCGAATTTCGTGCGAAAAAAAAAAATCCAAAAAAGACATTTCTAGAGACGGAATTAGTGCAACGGTGAAAGCATTACAACTTATCACTGGCAAATAGACAGCGTAGGAGGGGTTGATGCTGAATGATATGGGTTTTAGTGGAATTATCATGAAAATTCTGGTTGTTATCACTGTCTCTGACGTCATCGTGGACGTCAGCCTGCTGCTCACTACACGTGTACGCGGGCAATCAAACGTCTAAAAAATTCACATGTACCGCTATATGGAGAATGAAGCATATACAGAGGGTGGCACATAGGTGTTAGCCTCGAATCAAGACGAATATGAAAATGGTTAAAATGTTTGCCTAAAACTTCGAGGAGTACATACGACGTCATTATACGACGATAATATACGACGTTAATTAATATATATCTTATTTATCATATATATATTATATCTAATATCTAATATAGTATATTTATATATATATATATATATTATATTATATATATATATTATATCAAGAGCTAATAAATACCATAATAAATACTAATAAAGGAGTTTATTAGCTCTTGATATATATATATATATATAATATCATAATATATATAATTATATATATATATTACTGCAACATTGCTGCAAGCGTGCAATGCGCGGCGAAGTATGATTCTTGTATGACATCGGAGGTGAAGAGGTATACGCGAGGACGATATATATCCCTGACACGTCGAATCGCGCAGAAGAACCTTAAAATTAGGCCCACTTTAGATGAAACCACTGAAAACAAAATGCGTTCAGATGTTCTTGTAAAGGTTGCAATACTATTAGGTTTGTGAATTGAGAGCTCGCGCACGCCTAGCATGCTTGCGATATATATACTCTGGGGGACTACAGACACCTTTATACCATAATTTTACATTCTGTTACAACATAAATTATCTCCGCGCGCGTAGAAAACATCGTTCTTTGATGCATCTACACGATATTTTCTGGCCTTGCGTTCAGCTATAAGGAATTCAGCCGGGCGGTTTCTCGCGGTTCGCCACGAACTGTGTCGTTACCACAGCATTTACTGAGTCGCACCTACTCAGTCACGCTCGACTACCTAACGTCTCCGAAATAGCAGTTCTATAAACAGGATGTCAGTACTTTATTGGTTCCACGTAGTCAGGTATCCGGGAAATGCCCCGAAGAACGTATAAATAGCCAGCGAGGGCGCCGACACAACTAAACCGCCTGCGAACAGAGCGACAACCACAGCTATCAGCAGTTAAAGAGAAAGGTAGAGAGTAGAAAGTTTGATAGGTAGACAGACAGACAGACAGATAGATAGATAGAGTGGATGCATCTTTAGTGTTGCCTATGGCAAAGATACGAGACATTCGCCTATCGGCGCTGCTGCTGTTATGTATGTTGGGCGCTGCCGCCGCTGACGATTTCACCGTGTCCGCACCCACGACGCTCTCCCGCCTGCTCATCACCACGCTACGATGTACCGTAAGTATCAATAACCTTCACGACGAGCTCAAAATCGAGAAGATAATGTAACGATTATAAGTGAGATCATATATGATCATGAGTGTATAATATAGATATCTACATTATACACTCCTGATATGAATACAGTATAAGATCAAACGAAATACTAAGTAGGGATGAAGTAAGATTTAATCCCGTTTAACGATAAGTATAAAGAGTTTAACTACGTTTACGATTAGATAGGATACGATATGATAGAATATGATAATATGATTAGAGTAGATAAGATAACACCATCAAATACTATAGTAATGTAAAATAAACTGCTACTTCAAAATGTGTATTTAACGTACGTGATAAAAGTTGAAATGACACGAGACGGTTAATATATAGACGAATGATTTGCTGTGATGTCGTCCACAGTAAATTTGGAATACTGTGTAATATTCTATATATCGATCTGCAAGAAGTAATTGTATAATAAAATATCAAATTTGCTGCACGGCTATAAGCCATGCAGGCATATTACATGGTGAGTTGAAGGGTGAAGGTGAATGTATATGCTAAAGATTCAGCATGTTCAATACAGTTTCGTATGCTTTATGAGTAAAATGCCATGCACACGACATTAATGGGAATCGGGACCGGACCGCTAAATTCCTTAGCTCTGAGATGATTGATGCACGCTCGCCAGTTTTATACAGAGAGATTGTAGAATGGCAAGGCCATGTCGGCTATGAATTTTATAGGAACCTGCCTTACGGGTGAAGGCGACACATCTCAAGGTTACACGTATAGCTGTTGTCAGTGTAGGTACTCTGGCGATGTCTATTTTCAGTTTATGTGAAGGCGTAGGTTATGGTAAGCCTGACCTAATGTGGAAGATGCGTGGAATTTTACATGCTGTGTGCATAAATAGAGCGATGTAACGTTTTAATTAATGCACTAGTAAATTACCATGAATTCTAGGTGAAGCGGCTGCATAATTATTTTTCTACCCCATTCTTCCTACGCGCAATGCATTTCACTTTTGACTAAAAATAAAGTATTTAAATTATTGAGTCCCAATAGGCGATAGAGCCAAGCTTGAATTCCATGACAAATATATCTGTCCAGTTGATGAATGTTCACCGTAAATAAAGACTGTTTAACGCGTCACCTTTCGTGCCCTTCGCGTTTTTAAGCAATAATCAAGCATTCGGCAATTTCAGGATTTCTCGATTGAAAAACGATGTCATTAATAAACAATAGATTAGGCTATAACATTGACAAGCTACATTAATCCTGATATAAAAGAACGACGATAGCAAGCACATTCTTTCAAATCAGGGTACGTGCGTTTATTCGCCTGCGCGTATGTGCGTGCGTGCGTGCGTGTGTGTGATTGCATGCATTCATGCGTGTGCGCTCGCGTACTCGAATGTAATATCCATGTTATGGCCATGACTAACCCTGATCCTTCGCAGTCCTCCTCCAATTTAAAGTGGAATCACCGACACGTATCAATGGAGGTTTCTTTTTGTTATGTAAGTTGACCTGCTGTTAAACACAAGATGCCTATTACAGACTACAGAGACACGAACGTACTTGTACAGCTCCGACAACCGACTATGGGGCCCTACCGGTCAGCGTTTCCGGACCACAGCCGAGCTACATGTTTACTGTATCGGAGGTAAGAAAATAGTATACGATCAGACAAAATTGAAGAAAAAAATCGAATGAAACAAAATTTCAGGCGAACTGCAGCTTACGTGAATTGTGGACTATGGGAAAACGTTGCCTTGTTCGATTTATTTGTGGAAATTGCTAGCAGCAGTTATGGTCAGATGTCATATGATAACGATGGCAACGATGCTGATATTACGACATCGGGCTGATAACGGTTGTATTAATTAAGATAATAATGATGAGAAGAATAGGAATATGATGACAATGATTAGAATGATAAAAGACTTAGACGTAGAAAAGGGAGCTAGGGTTGTGGGGAAGGAGCGGGCTGAGGATCAGAAGGAGCAAGAGCAGTATGGTGATGAGGATATGAAGAGGAAGACGAAGAAGGGGCGAGGAAGAAGAAATGCGGCGATCCGCACTAGAGCCGCATTAAGTCGTTGCATCTGCTTCAGCCGCGGGAGGTCGGCATGGAAACAACGCGCTGCTGTTCGGCGCCACCGTCAACCACATCACCGAGGAGCCGATTGATGAGCCGAGGCGCAGGACAGAGTTCAACAGCGGGGAGCTGGACGCCTTCGACGCCGAGAAGGACGACGCGCTCAGCAAGCTCGCCTCTGGACGGTTCAGCTCGCCATTCGTATCGGTAAGGCCGCCATGTTTGCGTCTACTGGGCGTTGTCACTGTGACGAAAATACGTATATACGGGATTGCTTTGCTCAGGAAGTCGCTTCTGGAGATGGGGGGTCCGCTCGCTATTCGTATCGTTCAGGCCGCCATGTTTGCGTCTATTAGGCGTTGTCAATGTGGTGAAAATTCGGGATTGCTTTTCTCAGGAGCTAGTACTCGCTAGGTGGCGTCTGACCACGCGTGTGGGGAACGGCCATTTTCGTTGGGTATCTATCGCCATGAGCTTGGCGCACAGATCTACTTCTATAACAGAGAGCGCCCCTGCTTAGGCACCAGTTCCTCCAAAGTATAGAATAATATGTCTCTAAATTAAGCATATGGAGACTATACGCTTGTGCTTAGGCTATATGCTAAAAGTAGAACCCAAGGGTGATCTAGGGCTAGCTCGTTCTTACGCCGGCATTGAATGTGAGCGCACGTTTTACAGGCGAGAAGGAAGAGACAGATCGACCCCAGCGACCCCTACCCGGTCGACGAACAATTCCAGGATCCATGGAAGTTCGTGCAGGGAAACGACGGCACGATCCTCGAAGTTCGCTTCATGTCTTCCGACACTGACGAGGAGGCTCGCAACTTCAAGCGAGCTCTGACGTCAGCCTTCCAGAGTCAGTTCAACCCACAGGCCAGTCAGAAGGAGACGACCGACATCACCGGCAAGCACTTTGCAACTTTCAGGTGCGTTTTGGTTCGTTGATGTCGAAGCCATCCATAATAATGGTTTATGCATGCGTGCGTAAGATTATACGTATGATCAAAAGTATGTAGACATCGCGATGGGCGCGAAACGTGTACACGATACATAACCGGTAAAACGTAATGAGGACGAATAAGATCCGTGCAACTTCACTTTGATGCGGCATTGAGATCGGGTCGCGTGATATTTTGCGTTTTGCAAAGCAACACCTAGACGTTGATTAATCATCTATATATGTTCTGTAGTTGAGAAGACAAATCGTCGCTTAGCTACAGGCCCATACCCAGAACGGTCATACGATGTGGGCTTGCTGTTTACGCGAAGTGGTCTTAAAATTCCCATCAGAAATGAATGAGTGGTTTCATTCCAAGACAGGAGCCGGGCTAACACACCACACGTTGTTTTTATTACACAGCTTCTCGACCCCTACAAGTTCGACGTCCGTTGTTAGCAAGACCTACAGCAACAGCGACTTCACACAGTTCGCAGCGCCATCTGCCGCACACGACAAAGACTCTGTCGACATCAACGGAGCGGAGAGCGAGACGTTTAGCGACGGTGTCCTGTTTCAATCGAGTAAGCATTCAATTTACGGGCCACCACTTTACTACACTACACGCCACACGCGTGCGTGTGTGCGCTGCGGGCGCGCGTGTGTGTACGTGTGTGTGTGCGCGCGTATGCCTCATTATCAATGAACATCGTACGCAATCTCGCGTGCCGTTTTAGAGAATTATCGGTTCATTGATTCTATATCTCATCATTGATCTACATATATCTACGGGGGCAAGCAAAAACGCTCTGAGGGTTCACATGTACCGTTATATGGAGTGCGCGCCCTTCCTGGTCGGCGCAGACGTCGCCCACCCTGATAACGTCATCGATCACGCGATCGCTCATCGTTTCGCCAAGGTTACCGATCGACTGCAGTAGATCGACGACGCTCTCCTCGTCGCTGCACCGCGCATCGTCGACGTTCTGACCCGAGCCGCGCTGGTCAAGGATGTCCGTCACGACAGCTCGGGCGCCTTCGGTCACTGTCGTGCGGCTGGCGACGGACGCCCCCCCCCGCCCCCCCTCCCCCGCCCCCCCCATGTTGACGAGTACGTTTGGCACAAGACTCGGCTCGCCAGTCGTCAGCAGGCGGGCGAGGAAGTAGGTGGCGCGGTCGCTGGCACGCGGCATACCGCGAGTAGTTCAAAGAGATCGGCTTCTGATTGTCGCTGAGCGGTGACGTGACGGCGCAAGACCAGTGAGATGAGTCTCTCTGCTGCATCACCGCCACCTACCGACAGCACCTGATAGAGCGCGTAGCAGATGTCCCAGTCAGCTGAACACTCGTGCTGATCAATCTGTTGACAAAAATTAATAATGAAAAATAACCGTAGTATCATGATAATAAAATAGCCTTTTGTTTATATACTTTCAATAATTTATTGTTCATACTATCATATATTTATTATTAAGTGTCATGGTAACTCACCTGTCCGACATACATCGCTACTTCGTTGCTTAGCGAATCGCGTTTATCCCTGAATATTAAGCTCGTTCTCATGCGGACCGTGTCCTTCAGGGTCATCGACTGTGGACAGCAACAAACACAAAAGCTACAGTGCCAGTGCATATCGCGCTTAGTGACAATTTATGAGAGGTTATGATTGGTTGGTGACGATTATTGTACGAGACGGGTACCGAACAAAATCGCGTTTCCCTATAAGATTCCGGGATGGATAGAAGACAGTCACATCCCTCCCACCAGCATGGTATTCACGTAAGGCTATTTCTAGCCAAGACCCCTAGATAGCGAGCGATTCGGTTTACTTTTTTACTACTTTATTTCCATATAATTATACGCCCGTACGCTCGAAAACGAAAAGCTCGTCTTACGAGCGGCTTCATATAGCGCCAGAAAAAGAGCGAAAGGTTCGCTAGAGAGGGTCGAGGGAAGACGAGCCTATACGTGGACCCAGGAGCGAGAGGGTCGCGTATGATGAGAAGCACAGCTCACGTTTTTCTTCTGATCTTGATCGAATGAAGCTTGTCAGGATGTCATGTACTTTTCCAACCGAACCAATCAGCGTCTCGTACCTTATTCGTCTGCCAGAATCTGTACCAAGGAGAACAGTAGCCTGTTTATACATGCAATTATATATATATTAATTATGTATCTTTATTATTTTTTGTTATTTGAAATTATTGTGTAAAATCACACATATTACATGTGTGATTACTTTATACTATATTTCTATTAACAAATAAACCAAACGATGTCGTCTATTACAGAACCTCACGTAGCACGCACCTTTGTCATACTCTGCCATGAGGCCACTGCTGACATACTCCACTTCGTTGTCGTCGCTGAAGGGGTTATCTTCGGGGTCATCCAGTGACCTCTTGCGGCGAGTTTGCAGCGACATCGTATAGGTGACTTGAGTGGTGAGGTCCTGCGCGATGTCAACATCAGGTTCCCGTAGCAACGGGTCGTCGTCGGTTGGGTCGGTTTGGGAGGATCCGCTGGCCGAGAACGAGGCGAACCTTGAGCTACCCGAATCGTGCGAATCTAGCCGTTATCGTACCAGCTGTAACGTAGAAAGAGAGCGATGAATGAGCGACTGGTAAAATTTGAGTTCCTTTGCGATTTTCAACGACGAGGAATGTCGATCCTTGCAAAGCAGAATCAAAATTGAGTGATCTTATTACACTGCGCGCAAGACAATTTTAACAAAACAATATAGACAGAATATAAGCAAACATATCGAACATGCGAGATATTTAGCTATCATGCCACAGTTAGGTCATTATCTATCAGGCGGCATGGACTGACTCTACGCTGAGGGGCGTTATGCTATTCATTGCACTATTCCTCGTACGTGCTGCTAAACAGGTACGCAATTATATTAAGGATACTCACCACGTTGTGCATGAAATTTGATCGATTTTTGCGTTTTCAACTTTTATTCGATGCGCACTACACTATGTGCCCACCTGTGATACATGCTCATTTCTCAC